CAAATAATAAACAGATCTGAACATATGATACTAGAAATTAACAGATCTGAGGAAACCTGAGATTAAAACCCATCTGATCTGAACAGATGTGAGGAAGAACGAGCTTGAAACCAACTGAGGCTTTTGCTACTTGCTCGAATCCGGGATGACGCCAAATGATGTGACCTGGATCCGAATCCCCTGCTCTGAGGGAGTGCTTCTACGCCGGAGACGGATCTGCGAGGTCACAACAGACAAGCCCGTTAGAGCCGCCCCAGGGACTGTGCCCCGGGAGCGGACTCCAAAGGTCAAGTTAGATCATCTAGTAGATCTTAGATGGTTCTCTTTAGCTAGAGAGAACCATCTTGGTGCTGGTGGTGTATGGTGGCTGACGGCGTCGGGTGGCGGCTGAGCCACCTGACCGGAGTATAGGGCGGCGACTGAGCCAAGGGGAAGATCCCCTCCATAGAGGAGATACTATTCGTTATATAGGGGACAATTAGGTCAAGGGGAATTAGGTCAGGCCTTGGGCCAGCCCAATTCAGGCCCAGCTAGCAAGGAGTTGGGCGAGGCCGCCTGGAGGCGCCGGGAGAGGCTGGCGGGCTCGCACCAGGCAAGGCTGGCGGGCGTGCACCAGGAAAGGCTGGCAAGGGAGCGCCAAGCCAGGGGGCGCCATACCAGGCCTGCGGGAGAGTCCCCAGTAGGGCTGGCAAGGGAGAGCCAGGCCGGGCTGGCGGAAGACTCCCCAGCAAGGCTGGCAAGGGAGTCCCCAGCAAGGCTGGCGAGGGAACGACAGGCGATGCTGGCGCGCCAGAGCTGTCTAGGCCATGCTAATTGACGATATATCAACAAGTCCCCCCAGTGCGACGTTATTGGTACGCGGCCAATGACATTGGACTGGACTAAGTCATATAAACCAACAGGAGAGTCCCCAGCGAGGCTGGCAAGGGAGTCCCCGACAAGGTTGGTAAGGGAGCGCCAGGGCTGGCAGGAGCGCATCAGGCCATGCTGGAGCGCCAGAGCTGTCTAGGCCATGCTAATGGACCATATATCAACAATAATATACTAGCATTATTTACTATAGAAAATAGGATAATAATATTAACAAATTGAATATATAAATATCATTTTTATTGTAATATGTACTTTAGTCGTGTTCAGACCTCTGACTTGAAACTTATGACCCTATCAATTCACATAGTATGCCTTTGAATCTTTATCAATTATGCATTCCCAAGTTCGCTTGTTACAACCTCAAAAAAATTGGAATCCACCATCTATACTAACGTCACAAGAATTACAGCCACCAAATAAAACAAAAGGATTTTGTTACAGGTAATTATAAATTAATCAAGAAACAATCAAGAAATCAAGTAACTAATGAAGTTAAAACACATAATTAAAGAAACATATGCAGATGCAGGTAACGATAGGCAGATAAAGAATCTAAAAAACTTTCAGAATCAGATTTTCATTATATAGAAAACTTCAAGCCAATCAAAATTACTACACAAAACTAAGAACAAATAGATGCATGAAAGGTTAAGAGAGAAATAATCAATAATTTGTTCAAGTAAATAAACAAATGCCGATACTACTGAAGTTTGAAAAAGGAGTTGTACCTTGGGATGTTGAGCACAGACCAGAATGGTGGAGACCCAAGCTAAAATCGATAATCAATAATCTAGAATCAATTTCTGAGACGATGATATCTATTTGAAGAACCCGATAATTTCATACGAATATGAGAATGATGGAGATGCAACCTAAGACCCGTTCCAGGGTTAATTTTGGCAGATAAAAAAAACTGGAATGCGTGTTCTGTTGATTTCCACCTTTTTGGTTGGGACTATTTTTTTTTGTGAATTGTCCCATTGGACTTGGTCACTTTCAATTAGTTCTTGATCTATGCCAAACACTCTTTAAAAAATTATAGTTCTGTTCTATTCCATTCCGTTCTTCGGGGCCTAAGAGATTCGTTCTTGCCGTTTTTCTAAGACCAAAATATCGATTCAACCTTTTCGGTTTTTCTAGACTAAAGAACTGATTTGTTAAACCTGACACACAATCAATTTTTTCAAAACCTATATCATCAGTTGCTTTGAAGCCTCATTAACATTTTTATTCTATAACTTACGATAATTTTATTTATTTTTTTGGCCCAATAATTTATACTTTTTCTTTAAACCCCTACATAGCATACAACTTTGTTATTAAACGTTTTTTTTCCTCTCATGAAGTCATTTTTGACCTTTATAATGGCTTTTTCTTAATGCCTAAGAAACTATTTAATTGGCCAGATTACTAATCGATTTTTCTATTTTGTTCTAGCCACTTCAATCAGTTTCCACCTCTTAAATAATTTTTTCCTATCGTCATAAATCAATTTTTTGAAACTCTTTTTTTTTTTTTTTTATTTTGGGTTCTTTCAGCCCTTGTAAATCTTTAGATTGTTTTTTTCCTACCACTTTTGGACAGTTGCCAATAGTTTTTTTTTGGCAAGGCAAGTGAAGATAAGAGATCCTGTTGACTCAAATCAAGTATCATGATGCATTGGCTTTTATTTTATTTTATTATTTATTTACAACCTATGAGATTTCATTGTAAATTGAACTATTTTGAAGTTTGGAGTTATTATATTTTGTGTTGCTTTAAGAGGTTTTTTATTTTGGGAGCGTGGGATCTTAAGATTTTATTAGTCAGTGGCATATCCAAAATTTTGTTTTAGGGTAGACCAAATAATATACATAATATGAAAACGATAACAAAATGTAACTATATATGTATTTTTAACTCAATTATTATTTAAATTGCACACGATGTTGTCTTACAACAATGTATCCCATTTTACTAATTTGAAGTTTTGAATGAAATAAACAATATCATAGCCCTAAATCTTTTTATTTAACAAAAATATATATATTGTACATAACATATATATGGAACCTTAATTATGTGTGAGTGGGCCAATGTCTACTATTGTTTTATATTGGCTACGTCTCTGCCGTTACTTCTTCATTAAAGAAAATAATATAAGGTATTTTCAAAAATTTAATACCATAAAGTATTTTCAAGTCTTTAATGCCGAAGGGTATTTTCAGGAATACCAAAATATATTTTGGTCGAAAGACATTTTGGTCGAAAGACATTTATACCGCAAAACATTTGGTTTGATGTTTTTTACTTCTTTAATATCTCATATATTATTTCGATAGACCTTTATTTTAGCAATGTACCGATTTTAGTTTGTTAGTGCATTTGGGGACATGTTATATATTAATGTATGAATATCATTTTTGCACAAGGGGTTTGGCATTGTTATGATTTTTTATGAATTTATAATTTTGAGGTATGATCGGATTAGGCTCATATCGTAAAATCCTTATCATTTATATATATATATATATATATATATATATATATATATATTATATATATATCTATATATATATATATATATAATATTTTGTCTTTGAAGTGAATCAAATATGAACTTTAGAGATCCCGTTTTGAATTTAATTTGTTAATGATGTATTGAAGATGTATTTTCTCATGTCTTAAACTATTTATTGTTTGTAGCTACATTGGTTAATTGATAGATGAAAATGCATTTTTTTATGTTTCAAAGTACTTTTGATAGGATCTTAGGAAATCAATTAAATACCTATTTTTAAAGAATCCAATTCATGTGTCCGAGTCTAACGAGCAAACGTAATAGGATTAGCCCTATGGAAATTCGAATTACCCGTCCAATTTTTTCGGGTATCGGGTAAAACGGGTATCGGGTAATCGGGTAACCCGATTTTTTTTATGTCGGGTATAAGGTACGTTTGTTGGGTTTCGGGTATACCCGAATTACCCAAATTATTTTAAAAATTCATTTTTTTGTTTTTTTCATAGATCTTATATTAGTTTTTATTGTAACTAACAAACTTATTATTTTGATGAAACTTCAGAACATGACAAAACTTATGACTACAATTATCTTAAACATTTTAAACTTTTAAACTAAGATCTTTAAGTATTTGTTTTTTAACATCTTATTATATTAGATTAAGTTGTTAAAAGATTACTTGATATTGACTAAAAAATCTCAATGTTCAAAGTTTGAGTAACTTCGTTTATGCCTTGTTTGTTTATATAATCAAGACTAATAGAGCACGCGATATTTATTTCAATAAATTACTTTTCAGGTTCCATTCACAAAAAAATTATATATTTCGGGTAATATCCGAATTACCCAAACCCGACCCACTATCCGAATTACCCAAACCCGAATTACCCGAATTTAATTTGGTTCGGGTAACGAGTATTTTTTTAACATGAAAAATTCGAATTACCCAAAACCTGAAAAAATTACCCGATCAACACCTCTACATAAAATCGAATATTCACATTTGATTCTTTGAATTCTATCGTAATCCGCGAACAAAAGTCGACCTTAGTCTTCTTCAGTATTCTTTCTTATTTGACATGATAAGCTATCTTCGATAAAAGCATCACACAAATTTCAACTTAACTTTTCACATAAGGATCAAAAAGTTATTAACTAAACTTCTTCACATAAGGATCAAAAAGTTATTTACTGTGGATTAGTATGATTAGTGTGTTCTTTTATTTTTGCTTATAATTTGTAAATGTACTATTTTCTTTAACCTTTTAACATGATTGGTGTGTTACTTGCTTGTAATTTGTAATTATACAACTGTCTCATTAATCTCATTGATAATCTATAAATTCTTTCTGCACAAATATATATATAAATAAAAAATTTCTAGATACCAAAGAGTTTATAGTTTAACCGTATATATAAATTAAAACTTTCTACACAAAAAGGATTTAAGTCTTCGTTGTACACAAAATATTGATTTATAAATAAGATTGAGTATATAAATAAAAACTTTCTACACATCAAAGGATTTAAATCTCGCTGTATACAAAATATTTGAATTATAAATAAAGATCGTGGGCACGTCCATTAGTGTCATGAAAAAAAAAAGAACTTTCTACGTATCAATTTCTGAATAAAAAAGTGAAATATGGGCACGTGATTTTCCACCGACCAAAGAACACAATCTTCTAATTGCCCTCGTCATCTCCTTTCTTATTTAACTTCCAACACACACCCCCAATTAAATCAAGAAAAAATGGATCAAACACCGAAGTACACTGACAACAAACCCACTGTTAGATTTTACAGCAAGATCAAGACTGATTACTCACTCACTATCCGTGATGGAGCACCGGTTATTGCACCCACCAACTCCTCCGATCTTCATCAGGTATATATACACACTTTAATTCCTCCTTCTCCGATCAGCTCATCCGCTTAACTTTAGTTGACCTTTTTTACATTTTTATACAGCATTGGATAAAGGATGAGAAGTTTAGCACGAGAGTCAAAGACGAAGAGGGTTTTCCCTCTTTTGCTCTGGTAAATAAAGCTACTGGACAAGCTCTGAAACAGGCTACCGATCCAGCTCATAATCCAGTATGTCGATCTTCATGTACAATCATTAGACGTTTAAATCTGATCATCTGAAGTTGAAATTGTATCAGTTCTTTAATGGGCTTTTAGCTATTGTTTACAATACGTCAAATATGTGTAGTTATGGACTTTCAGGAATAGCAAATATTTTGGTCGATCTTGTTCTTTTTGTAAAATTCCTATGGATCCTTGTGTAGGTTCAGCTGACGGAATTCAACCCAAATACGCTTGACTTGTCTGTTCTTTGGACAGAAAGCAAGGATTTGGGCGATGGTTTTCACGCAGTAAGAATGGTGGACAATATTAAGCTTAATATAGATGCATCCATTGGTGACACTGGTATTCATGATGGCACCGAAATTCTTTTGTGGGAGTGGAATAAAAATGATAACCAGAGGTGGAAGACAGAACCTTTCTGTAAGTTCTTCAACACAAACTTTTATAGATAAATGCAAATGACTACTAATCAGTATTTACAATTGGAAGAATCAATGTTGTGATCTTATGATCTCTATGTGTGCAGGATATGTGATGATGTGGGGTTCCCATAACTAGAAACTTGGCGTATACTATATGGTGATCGATGGTGATGGTGATATGTATGTTTGAATAATGTTGTGTTTTAATTAATATGTTTATATATTTAAATAACATGACAATTGGACCGTTACACGGCTCAATACCACGACTAGTGTTGGACATGGTATGCATGTTCAACATGTATGAATGTATGAGAATAATTTTTATTGGTGTCTTTTTCTTGTATACGAATTCAGTAGTTGAAATTTGAGGAAGATAACCGCATATCCTCATTTCATAAAGTAATATATATTTGATATGATTATATATACATATATATATATATATATATATATATATATATATATATATATATAATATATATTATATGTTATTCCCAGCATAGAGTAAATATGTTGTATGGGGTTGGGAGGGAGGAAGGTAAATACAATAAAACCGAATAATCTAAATTCTTTAAAAGAAATTTAACAATCTAGAGTTTATGGAATGACTTTTCGGAATTTATTTGAACAAAAATGAAAAATACAAGATTGATTACGAACATGGAGAATGAAAAACACACTTTAAACTTCTAACACACTTAGATCTTGACAAATATTTTGCTTGGGGAATTCACTCACATAAAGAGAAGAGAAGGAATTTTTATATAAAAGTTCTTAAGTTTGTCATATTTTGTCGGTTTTGTCCTTATGATGATATTTTGTTCGTTAAGGTCCTTATGATTAAGTTTTTTTTTTTTTTTTTTGCCGTTTGTTACTTATAATAGCTGGTTTTCAGGTTACAATTAAATCAAAGTTTCCAAAAAAATTCTTAAGTTTACAAAACTTTTGCAAGTTTGCCATAAGTATATTTTTTCAAAAAATATATTTATACAATGTTTAGTTAATTTTTTTTCGTACATAAATATGTTTTTCTTCTGTATGTATACGTATAATATAAAAATTATATATAAATACTTTTTTTTACGGAAACTTGACTGGTTAGATGTTAGTGTTAATACTCCAATTCTTGTTAGCACCAATGATCGAACCCTAACATCTCCATTCTCCCATACTAAGAGACTAAGCATCTATAAATTGGGTTATTCCCAATTGGCTATATATAAATACTTATGGTAAAAACATAAAAGATTTGTAAACCTAATGATATTTTTGTAATTTTTTTTAATGAGAACCTAAAAACCTGTTATTATAGGTAACAAGGAACAAAATGATTTTTTTTTTGGCAAATTCTAGCATTGACAAACAAAAAAACGTTACATTGAAAAAACCGATAAAACTTGTCAAACTTAAGGACTTTCATTTCATAGGCCATAAAAAGAATGTTTAATATCTATATGTGAATCGGTAAATGAATTGCATATTGATCTTTTTATAAAGGATTTGCTGAACTACCAATGCGCAAGGATATGCTAATTTACTTTTTCTTTGTAACAAGACATATCTCAAATGTCATCCTTAACAATCTTCTTAACTGAACATATGCTACAAGCTTGGACATACAAGCTAGTTAGAAATGTTGTTGAGTAATTATAAGAATTCTTCAAAATATAACATGTAAAACCAAGGACAATCTGATCAAACTTGAATGCATAATATATATTAAACCAGAATACTCTAAAAAAATGAATGTATTTCACAATCCGACACAAGGCTTGCGTCCTTAATCTTATGGCTTGTTCTTGATTAGAAATTTTGACATAAATATTACATTCTTTTCTTTTATTTGTTGTTTGTATTGTTGGGAAATTTAGGGTTTGTGGTGGAGATCTGGATACCAACTTGGATCGTGATATCACTTTCCGAACTGATATTTCTACCCTATGTCTGAGTTACAAGAAATTCAGCCTAGGATAATTCAAGTGGACACTTACGTTTCTAGGCACAGAAGACATAAGCCAATATGCTAGAGTATTCTGTGAAAGTATGATGAAACGAGAGCTTAAGATCATAACCCTCTTCTGTAGAGGAATAACTACTTATATATTAAACACGATTAGGGTTTCATTAGGGTTGGGCCGTCATTAGTTGCTTTGGAAGCAAGTAATGTTAATCCGGATTTAATGAGGATTTAGGGTTACCAAAAACTAACGAGTTTCATTAGTTTTAGCATAATCACCCTCAAGAAATTGAATTTTCCATTATGTTCTCATATGTAAAATTCGGTGAGGTTTTGGGGCTCTGCCCCTCGACCCCGCCCGCTGACCTGGCAGCGGGACCCCAGCCAGGGGCTCTGCCCCTTGGACCCCGCTAGGGGCGCTGCCCCTAGACCCCGCCAAGGGGCGCTGCCCCTTTGGAAACCCCGGACCCGGGGGCGCTGCCCTCGGACCCCCGACTGGTCGTCGAACCGGCTTCTAATTCGATCTTATACATGCGTGCACTCCGCACAACCCCGTACATATAATAGAGTACAAATTATGAAGCCCCTTAGCTCACATGTTAGTTCCAGTTACTTAAAATGACATGATGACACTAAAATCACCAACAATCCTCCCCCATTTTAGTGTAACCCTTGAACAAACATAACCTTTATCAAACAAACCAAACTAGTACATAATGAAAATATCGAAACGATTGAATTTCCACTTAGTATCATACATTTTCAAATACTCGAGAATCAGGGTGTTCTAAGAATTGAACCATCAACCCATTTGGAATACCAGAAAGTAAAATACATACTAGTTTATTGAATTTCTAGCATCATACAACTTGACACTATTATAAAGCCGTGTGTCCCAATCCTCTCATGATCGTATCAAGGTCAAGTCCACAACCTCTTGAAATGCGGCTACACTTCACAATCACGTAGGTAACTCCTTTCCATGTATCTGCACATACATTTATCAAAGGAATTATTAAGAAGTTAAACTTCAACCTGGCTAACTTGCAGAACCGAACACATACCTGGGATGAATACTTCATGTGTTCCAATCTATAAGTATGAGCTTTTCACATTGAATTCAACTCCTAACATTATATTAGGAGGGAATTGGTGTGGTGTCATCATTATAGAATTAAATGGACTTTAATCCCATCCCGATTACAGACTTGTGCACTTAGTCTCTTGTCAGACCTTTAGTCAAGTGATCTGCCAATTTTGTTGCGATTTCAAAAACTCAACCGAAATCACACCATTCATGATTAATTCTCTAATCATACTATGTCTAACACCTAGATGTCTAGACTTGCCATTATAGACCTGGTTATATGCCTTAGCCAAAGCGGCAGCACTATCACAAATGATAGAAATAGGTGCTATCGGTTTAGACCACAAAGGAATCTCATAGAGTAAATTGCTTAGCCAATCTGCTTCTTTACCAGCAGCTACTAATGCAACAAACTCAGATTCCATTGTCGAGTTTGTAATGCAAGATTGCTTCTTGGAAGCCCAAGAAATGGCACCTCCCCCAAGCAAGAATACCCAACCAGAAGTTGAGGAATGGTCCTCCATGTTGGTAATCAACTTGCATCTGAATGACCTTCTAAAACCGAAGGACTCCAAATAACTCAAAACCATAATTCAGGGTTCCCTTGAGATATTTAAACACTCTATTCATTGCTTGCCAATGTTGAGCACTAGGATTGCTAGTGTACCTGCTCAACTTACCCACAACAAAGCAATATCAGGTCTGGTACTTGTCATGACATACATCAAGCTACCAATAGCCTTAGAGTATTCCAATTGTGAAATGGGAACGCCATTATTTGGCATTAATTTCACACTTGGGTCCATAGGAGTACTCACAGGAGAACACTCGGTAAAATTAAACCGCTTGAGAATTTTCTCATATAATGACTTTGAGTCATTACCAATCCTTGTTCATCCTCTTATTCTTATTCCAAGAATTACATCAGCCTCTCCTAAATCTTTCATGGAAAACTTGGATGATAACAATTTCTTTGTTTCATCCACTTGATTTTGGTCGGTACCAAAAATCAACATGTCATCTACATATAAGCAAATGATCACTCCAGCTCTAGTAGCATCATCAAATCTACTATAGACACATTTTTTCACATTGGTTTGTCTGGAAACCAGAGGACAAAATAACTTCATCAAATTTCTGATGCCATTGTTTAGGCGCTTGTTTCAGGCCCATACAAAGATTGACAAGTTTACAAACCATATGCTCTTTACCGGCATAATGAAACCTTCTGGTTGTTTCATGTAAACTTCCTCGTCAAGATCACCATTTAAAAAGGCTTTTTTCACATCCATTTGGTGAATAACCAGATTGTGGATACTTGCCAAAGCAACCAACAATCTAATAGTAGAAATACGTGCAACTGGAGCATACATATCAAAATAGTCAATACCGGGTTTTTGTCTAAAACCTTGAATGACTAACCGGGCTTTGAATTTGTCAATAGTTCCATTAACATTCATTTTCTTTTTGAAAATCCATTTGCAACCAAGAGGTTTAGAACCCGGAGGCAAATCAGACAACACCCATGTGTTGTTCTCAGAATTGATGACATTTCATCATCAATTGCCTCCTTCCAAAGGCACTATCACGAGACTCCATGGCCTTGGATAGTCTTTGGATCATCTTCAATACTATAGCAATAAGAGTATTCAAGACTAATTTCATCCCTTGAACCTTTCACCAAGTACAGTTGGAAGTCGGATCCGAATTTTTTCACAATATTGCCTCTTTTGCTTTTACGAAGCTCTTGTGGTTCTTGCACATTACCATGTTGGAACCTGAAAGTGAACCTCTAGCAATCCTAAGTACATATTCCGAAGGCTGTTGGTTCCGAAGGAAGATGTGATCCGGAACCTGTCCGGAGCTGAAGAAATGGAGTGAAGCTTTTTGTTGAAGAGGAACGCATTCTGGAACTAATCTTATAGTCCGGAATGCATGTTGATCCGGAATCAAACTTTCATCTCCGGAACATCACTTGTCCGGAATGAAGTTATTGTGTCTCTTATGCATTTATTACTTTTGTCTTGTATTTTGATGTAACGTTTCATAGGACTTAGTCTAAAGTTGTATTAGGACAATCAGAATGTTAGGCTTATGCCTTTTGTCCGGTCCTATGTAAACATCTGAGATAATTCGCTGTAACATTCTCTCCTATATAAAGGAGCATTCAATACAAGTCAACTATGGATCTTTCTCTCACTTTTGGCATTTACTCTTATCACATTCTTTGTGTTCTTCATTTATTAACTTTACCTTGATCACTATTCACTTATTCTCAATTAATATCTTGATCATCTTGTTGAATCGATTATCTAAGACTTGACTGGTCTTTCCAGTC